GAGAGAGAGAGAGAGAGAGAGAGAGAGAGAGGCCTGAATCTGTATGTTAGTTCCAAGCACAGTAAACCCACTGAATCTAAGAGAACTTGCTATGTGAACACTTATGTAAGATCCTTTGATTCAGGGATTCTACCCCAGTGAGCCATGGATTCCCAAATCATTAATACCCAGGACACAGGTGGACTGTAATTTTGTGGATTATAATTGGAGGCACACCAAATTTGCAGGGGGGAAAATTACACATCAATATTTTATCACTGAATTCCCAAAGAAAGTAAAAACTTTATCCTTGCAGTTGTGAAGTAGCCCAGTTAATCTGATACTGCATTGTAAAAATTCTTGAATATCAGAGATAAATGCTAAAAGCTTTCTTTTTTCCAAACAGACATTCCATAAGACTGAAGTGAAACCAACACAGTCAACTGCAAACACCCTGATTCTTTCTCTTCATGACTTTTTAATTTCATGCCCATAGCTATATTTCCCATGCAGTTCACTTATGACCACATTATTATTCAAAATCCTATTGTTCATTTCCATTTGTTTAAGGGAGATTGTGTACATCATGGTGGCAAATTGCCAGCCATTAACAGGGTGAGATTGAGTTGCTCACCTGGGTGCAGCTGCATGACTCGATTTGCATCTAGGAAAGTAACCAGCACCTTGTTAATGATTGGCAACTTGCAGCCATGACTGTTCAGATAGAGAACTGTCCTCTCTAAAAAACGTCAGCTTATCTCCCGGGGTCTGATCTTCCTTGCTTCTTTGCTCTGTCAAGTGGCACCCAAGGAGGGGTAAAAGTTTCTGGGCATTCTGATTGCATTCCACAGAAAAATATATGTAGATAAACCATACCTTTTCTTTAGAATTTCAAATTTCATTTGCCAAGAACGACTTGAGTGATACATATCATGCTGAAGTCTAAAAGCAGGAAATAAAAAGAATTAGTACGGTTTGAAAATGTGAAATAATGAATATTAAGTCCACAGCAAATATTTCTGACTATACCTCTGGGCACGCAACTTTGCATCTTGTTCAGCTTTTTTCAGCCTCTTTATCTCGTCCTGGAATGCTTTTCTTTCAGCTGCTCTACCCTTTTCACATACAGTTTGCATGACAGAAGAGAGTCCTGTATTAATTATCAGTGTATGCAAAATACATAAAAACATAACCATAATAGCTGAACAGCAAGGTAAACATTTATGCATGCATTCAGAGAGTTACAGTATGTTTCTGTTTCCTACAGAGATGTGTGTTTAACTCAGATCCCTTACAATGCTATAAATGATATAACTGAAAACTAAAATAAAGAACAAGAATAAATAACAACAGCAGGATAAAATACAGTAAGAGATCACGTCTCTTTAAATGCCTGCTGAAGTGAAAAAAACCTAAAGTTTGCTTAAATCTGGGGAGTAAGATGGCCAGATGCATCTTTTTTGGAATAACTATGGACACCACAACCAAAGGACCCTCTCTCTTGTCTCTACCTGCTGCACACTCATCAGAAAGATTGTGAAGAGAGAATCCAAAGGCTTCTGAAGTTCAATGAATGCATTTCCTAAGATATTGTAGTCCAGGCTGTTTAAGGCCTTCGGAGTCAAAACCCAACTTCTGACTGGAGAACAAATTAAGCCAATAAAGTATCGTCATGATGTGCACCAACCTGCTGGCCAGGTTGCTGCATTCTAGAGAATCTGAAGTTCCCTGACAGTGATCAAAGGTATTGCCAGGTATTGTCTGTGACTGAAATCTTGCTTGGAAGTAACTTGAGAATGAACCACTGAAGTTGTTAATGGTAGGTAATAGAAAAGATGCCTTGCCATTTGTAGCTGTTGGCAATGTATGTATGTGTCTGCTATATTTTAGAATCACAGAATAATGGAGTTGGAGACACATTTACGGCATCAGATCCAACTACCTGCTCAATCTAGGAATCCAAATCAAAGTATATCTGACAGATGGTCATCTGTTGAGCATTGGAGAGTTCACTACCTACCAAGGTAATTCGTTTCGTTATCATATTGCTTTAACAGTTAGGGATTTTTTAATGATATTCAGCTGAAATCTGGTTTCCTGTAAATTGAGCCCATTGTTATGTGTCCTTCACTCTGGAATAACTGAGAACAGATCTTTCCCTTCCTCTGTATGACAGTCTTTCAGGTATTTGAAAAGTGCTATCATATATCCCCTCAGTCTTCTTTTCTCAAAGCTAAACATGGCCAGTTCTTTCACTCTTTCCTCAGAGCGCTTGGTTTTTAGTCCCCTGATCATCCTTGTTGTCCTCCTCTGAATTTGTTGCAGTTTGTCACCATCCTTCTTAAAATGCAGTGTCCCCAGAACTGTACATAGTATGCAAGATGAAGCTTAACCAGTGCCAAATAGATGAAAACTAGTACTTCACGTGATTTGGAGATTACACTTCTGTTAATGGAGCCCAACATAGCATTTGCCTTTTTTGCAGCCACATCACACTATTGGCTCATATTCAGCTTGGGATCTACAACAATTCCATGGTCCTTCTCACTCTTAGTATTACTGAACCAAGATCTTTTTAAATTTCATTTCTTTCTGGGTATTGGCTAGTTTACCCAAATCTATGTCATCTGCAAATTCGATAATCATTCCCTGCACCCACCCATCCACGTCATTAATAAAAAATGAACAAATATCACTTTAACTGTGGTGTAATCTTTGGTGATGGAGCTCCATGGGTTGTAAGAAAGGGCTGGATAAGGACCAAGGGGCAAAGGTCCTCTGACCACAGCTTTAGAGTGTTGGACATGGTAGGTTTGAAGACTCCAAAATTCAAATCCTCATTCATTCAGCCCTGGTGCTGATGACATTTATCAGCTAAATGAATGGAGGTTTGCATTATACATAAAGGGAAGAGCACATTTCATTCATTTCTAACTATTTTTTTCAGGCATGCAATTCCTTCAAAGGCTCCATGACCATGCAATAAGGCTTTAAAATTAAGGCTGTGATTACCTCCACGTGCCTAAGTGTAAAACAAAAGCAAGTGATCTGCAGCATATGGAGCTGAAGGAACTACATGCTAAGGTAAATGTCTTTTGGCTCTTAACAGAGTAATGATGTACTATCTGCATTATCTAGTTCAACCCTAAAAATACACTTGAATTTGGTGGCCTCTATGATCTGCCCCCCTGCACGCTGCAATATCCCATTATGTTCTTGCACATACGTCCAGACATTCCAATATATATGGGAAGGGCAGTGAAAATATCACTGAAGGTGTGTTTGTTTGTTTGTTTAAAATGTTTAGCCCAATTAGGTAAGCTAATGGGATAAGAGGTCGGCCATGCAACTTGTTGTACGAGGATCGCCCACAAGACATCACAGGTTGTGGTTGTGCTTCTGCTGCAAATGCTATATAAAATGGATCCACTAAGATTATGTTAGTGTAGAATAATAAGATGGTACCACGTCAGACTCCAATACAATATCTTCTTCTGCAGCTTCTTTGGCAGCATCTGCTTCTTTCGTGGCCATCTCTGTCATAGCTGCTTCTTTGGCCGCGGCTTCTTTTGCTGCCTTCCCTTTCAGTGCTTTTTTCGCCTTTTCTGCTTTTTCTTCATGGGCCAATGATATCTGTGTGTGGGGGACGGAGGGGAGCATCAGTCAAATAGATTTAGACAACCTTGTTTGAGATTTTCAGAAATTACGGCTTGCTGCCAGAAGTGTGGTGCAATGAAGAGCGTGACTTGGATCTTTAGGAGCAGGAGCAAAACAGCATGCATGATCTGTTGGAGTATCACATCCCCCAAGCAGACGAAGTGATAACAAGGCTTTTAAGCACAGTTATTGTTTGTTACAGATTAGTGAAGAGGAAGCTAGAGAATGAAGCTTGCTGGCAGTTGATCCTCGTAAATAGAGTATTATGAATTTCCTCTGTGTAAATAGAAAAGTCAAACCAAAATGATGAAGAGCCTGGAGCAATTGAGTTTAGCTTAGGAAAAAGAAAGGATATGGGAGGAGGAGGAGGAGGAGGAGGAAGAAGAAGAAGAAGAAGAAGAAGAAGAAGAAGAAGAAGCACTATCTAAGCTAGAAACAAGGGTTCTATTTACATAGAAAACCTGTAATGTATAGATACTTCAGCCTCAAATTTCCAAGAAAAGATGGGCTTGAATTGTACAAGGTAAATAAACTACCGGTAATTATTTTAAATGACTTTCTAAAACATTGCTGATTGTTGGGATCTAAATCTGCATCATGGCCATTCCTTGCTTAAATAAAAACAGCTAGTGTGTTGGTCTGTTGTTTTAGGCCATTGGGTTGTATTTTAAATATTAAAGTATATCTTTTTCATAAATATATTTCCCAGATGATGTAATATTTATTTAAATAGATACCTACTTTGAGTAGGCAGTGCAAAACATGACTTTTATCACAACTGACTAAACTTTCAGTGAAACTCAGGAATCCTATTGCGTTTCGATATCTTTGTAAACACACACGCAAAAACAGATTTTCTTGTGCAAACACAGCTCAGATATATTCAAATATAAGGCTTAGAAAATCTTTTGAAATGGCTACAGGTGCCCACCATTGTGTTTTTCCACCATTCAAGCTACTTCACTGAATTGCTGTCAGAAGATAAATATTGAACAAGGTGTATGTATGTTTAACAGTAATTGTATTCTATTTTCTCTTGTGCTACTTTATGAACTTCATTGTATGCCTTCTAGTTTGCCTCTAACTACTGGCCAAAAACATCCAGATAGTTGTGTTTGCTGATCTGTTCATAGAAAGTGCAAAATGGCCCTTTGGATATAATGTGCAAGTTAGAGATGGTTACAACAGGTCCATATGCCACAGTCCATACCCTATTCCAAATTTGAACTTCGCCCAACTTTTATTCATGTATGCAGCCCCATAAGGCCAATCATGTAAACCTTTTCTTTCCCTGCAGGCTCTCTGCTGTACATTGATTGTGCACCATTGCACAACCAGTTGCACAATCGATCAAACAAAGGACAATGTGCTGAAGGGGAAAAGCCACTGCATGATGGCCCTTCTGTACACAGTCTTCATCAACAAGATTTTTGCCTTTGCTTCTCTCTGTGAAAATGTGTCTCTTCAAATATATACACAGTGTGGTACAGAATTTTTCATAACTGAAAATTAATTTCATGATCCCTATGCAAAGCAAATGAATCACGCTATTGAGATCGAAGATGGTAAGTCTGCTATGGCTCACTTAAATCTCCTTGAATTCAATTTAAAATTAAGGAACTTTCACTGTACAGAGGCTTGCAGATTTTAGACATCCAGTGGATACTTCAGGGTAATAGGGACAGTTTTTTTAAAAGAAAGAAATTAATGACTTTTACTGTAATGCACCATTAAGAGTAGTAAACAGATACACACATACACAGCGAAAACATGCTGCATTTAAAGAACTCATTGTACAAACTAGAGATATTTCAAAACTATTTTCACATTATAATTAACTGCTCTCACTTCTTTCTTCTAGAACTGTTTTTAGGTTCAGCTAATCTCAGCATGTGTTGCTTTCCCACTGAATGTCACACTTTCCTAAATATGGGTTTGATTAATAAAGCAAGTCAAATACCTCTCGGAGGCAATACAACATGAAAGGGTCAGGAGAGTTGCACGTGAATTTAGACATTAACTTTGGAGTACTTGCTTGATGTGTGCCATTATTTGAAATTTGAGGGAGACGTCAGATAACAGTAACCTTTAGTCAAACAATGTTTTATCAGCTCTAAATTCAGTCTGTCTTTGGAAAGGAATAGACAAGCAATGCTTTATTACTGAAAAGCCACCTGGCTCATCCAGGTATTGAATAAAGCATTATAGACAACACTGACAAATGTGGGCTACAACAGGTAAGATTTTGAGCAGTGTGATCTCCTGGAAAACACTGTCTTTTGTTCAGAAACTGTTCTTAGAAGCTTTAGCAACATTTGGTAGCCAATTTAGTAGAGCCTGGGAAGTCAGATTAATTAGTCAATTTTTTTTACTTTTTTGGACCATAACTCCCAGAATCCAACAACAAAGAGTAGATTTTTCCATCTCTGGTCCAGAATTTGGGCAGAAGTGGCAATCCCAAAACATGTCAAGATATTCAGAAAAAGCCTGTAGTACAACTTTCTAGGGTCTGCATTATGTTAGAATGCCATGTTTAAATGTTTCCTCAAGTTCTAAAAAAAAGTCCTTTCCCATGGAAAATAAATATATCATGCAGGAACGTCATGTAGAACCCTTCTTCTAGTCAGACCAGCTTTGCACTAACAGGAAGGTTTTGATGTGCACTTCAGCCTGAACCTACATTCTTACATGGTATAGCTACAAAATCACTGTTTGTTTAGACAGACTGTAAACCTGAGACCATAAGAGGAAACAGGCTGGGTCAAACCAAAGACCCATCTAGGCCTGTATTCAGTTCCCACACTGGCCACCAGATGCCTCTGGGAAGTCAATGAGAGCAACTACAGCTGCACTGCAGCCAATGTTTCCAAATATACTGGCACTTGTTCTCCAAGTTGTTTCTTCCTTCATTTGTTTCCTTTATAGACCATCTTTCAACACAGAAGATAACAAAGCAGTCTACAGCCTGTATAACAAAACCAACAATAAAATTAATATATGATATTAATAAGATATCAAAAATTCAGTAAAGTCAGTGTGGAAGATCAGTGCAGAAATATATAGATTTTTACTAACCCACACTATACAGGCCTATCATATCTCATGATCAGTCATTACAATTAATTGCCATTGATAATTTGCTCCTCTTAGAAGAGTATATAAGAGGGATCGGTCACAAAATATTGTGGTGTGTGGAAAGCTCACGTTCATGGTTCCAACCAGCCTTTTCTAGGATATTAAGTTCTATCTCCTCCCATCCACTGATATGCCATCGGTCAGCCAATACACTATAACTACTGCACATGCCCAGTTGTTATTACAGCGTTTTCTCCTCCCTCTTCAATGTTTTCCTCAATGTGGCTTGGGTTTGGTGTGTTTTTTTGGGGGGGCACTTATTTGGAGTGAGCAATTTTGGGGGTGGCTTCAAATCTGTAGAAACTTAATCTTGTGCGTTGATGATGCAGCTTCAGTTACACCAGGATACAGACTCAAAAATGCTATCTATTAGTATAAGAGATATACAGTATTTTAAACACAACATCATATACTGTATTATTCATTGTTACCATGCTTATTTCTACAGATGTATTATATCTATTTGCTATATGAAACTCCCATGCTTTTTGACAAATCATGGACATCAAAAGGTGAGCTACTGTTATCTTTGCACCATATTTGTGAATCTTCTGGAACCTTCTGGCTGACTACTGTTGGAAAGAAGACAATGGTCTGTACAGATTTGACCTTTCTTGCGTTCTTAGCATATCACATTGGTTGGGAATATTACATAAGGTTGTCTTTATTATAAAATTTGTGAGTCATTCATATACCCTATTAGAGTTTAGTAAAATATACACAAATTTGACCCAAATTCAAAGGTCAATCTATAGTAATAAAAGAACACATGTTTCCATGTCCATGTGTGGCATGAACATGTCCATCTGTCTATTTCCACCATAGCTCTATGTCTATGAAACCTAGATCACTGAAAATATGTAAGGGGGACCTTGGGATGTGCATGCTGGAGATATTTTGCTTTTAAGACTAATTATTAAATTTTTGGTACTTAGAATCTATCTGGAACCTGCAGCACCATCTTTACTTACTAGGCAGTAGACATTCCTAACTTGCAATGAAGATGCTGTTCTGATTTTTCCTCCTGGCCTATAGACATCTCTCCCCTGGAGGGTTCATGAACTCTTCAAATAGTTGAAAGACAAAGTCCCACTAATGGGTAATGAATGGTGGAGAATGAGTGGAGGGAAAGAATGGAGGAGCACTAGGATGATGGCAGAGAAAGATCAATAAGGAAGTAAGGAAGTAATGGGTGAGGAGAAGAGAAAGAGAAGAAGAAAAGAGGGAAAGTACTAGGGTGGGGGTATGAAACTGGCATATCGCTATGTCAGTATTACAGATGGGGGAGAAAACTACAATGTTTCCTGCAGCCTGAAAACTGTGATCCTGGCATCCATTACTTGACAAACTCCATAGGCATAATTTACTCCTACATAGGTATTTACATATGCTGGAATGATTGAAAAGAAGCTGCATTCACATTCAAGTTAAAATGAACAAGCCCCTGGTGGCTATTTATTTTACCTTATGTCTGAACAAAAACACACAAGCATCCTGGTTAAAAAATAAAAAGCAGCATGCTGAGCTGCAGATCATGTAAATGGATATTTTAAAATCAATTCCAAACCTGCACAACTCAATTGAAATACCATTTTTAACCCCATCCTAAGCCTTAAGAATTTGATAGTTCTGCTAGGAATCGAATAAAATATGTGTGGAAAATGCTTCTCATAATGGAAAATAAAGCAATATTTATGGCAAATATAATAAATCACCTTTCGTACAGCATGAAATGAGCCTTGTGTTAATTTTGCCACAGCATCTTGTGCTTCTTTCACATCCTTAAAAATAAAGAGAAAAGAAAAATAATTCGGTATGGTTATGAGAACAAATTGTTTATAACATTTCTAGCACTGGGAGGCATCTTGACTGATACCACAGTCACATACATGTCTGCTGAGTTGGGCTCAATTCTAAGGAAGTTTGCTCAGATTGCAGCATGCTCATTGGCTGGCCCTTGTGACAATCACAAGACTCTTCCTAACCTGGCTATGTGGATTGCTTACTGCCACCCTCAGCAATCCAGCATCATGCTAGAACACATTTGTCACTGCCCCTGTGGACTGATACGGGCAACCACACATGTCAGAAATTGAAAAAAGCCAAGCAAGTGGAATTACTACCCAAAAACACTAGCCTTTATCAGTTGAACAAAATGCAATGAATGCCCAAGAGAAAAACAGGCAGGTTTACTAATGATTAGCTGTATGTCATGTGGGCAATGGGAAATACGTCTAATTCAGATGTGCTGACTCCAGCACAAACTGCAAAGTAGACTGCAATGTAGTCGCACCTTCAGTAGAGCAACTGTAACTTAGCACGAAGTGTGGTGATCTGCAAAAAGATACTGTATATTTAACTGAAGAAATACTGGCTTGCTATTTAAACTTTTTCTGCTCTGAACAATATCATTTCTTTCTGATATATTTAAATAAAGCAAGTCAAGCTACGAAGAGAATTATTAATGTAGTAAACCAACTCAGCTTACTGTAATGAAAGCATACCAGCTATCAATAGACAAAAAGTGGGGGAAGAATCTAATGGTATACAATGAGATAAGCCATTTGCAAAGTTCTTGAACCCTTTTAAAAGGAGATAAAACAGCCCTGGGACCAGTAAGAATGGTCTATTTGAAGTGACGGTAGTTTGGGCCTATTGTTGTACAATACAGCATCTCCACTGAACACAGAGAGGTCACATTGAAACTATATATAGTATAGTATATAGTATATAGTATATAGTATATAGTATATGGCTGTCATAATTTTCCATTTCAAGTTGCAAGACCAGTCCAGTTTCTCCAGCCATTTGTCAGGCACTGGGTGAGAGAAAGAAATGTGCAAAACACTGTGCTGTTGTCCCTGAAGCAAGTTTCAGCCAAAAATGTTTTTTAACAGTGAAATATTTTTGTTCAGGATCTTACCCGCTCTTTAGCTAGAACTCGCTGCTTCTCCCTGTCAAGTTCCAGCTTCAATATTTCTTGAGTGGTCATTAGCTAGAATTCAGAGGATGACTGTGAGACATCATAGCAAGGCATGGCATCACTTTGTTTGTTTTAAAATGACAATGTCTTATATACGCTGGCTGGATATATGTGCGCTGCATAACTATAAATCAAGAGTAGAAAACACAATTCAAACTGGGGTGAAGTTTGATTTCTGAGATTTCGGGGCTGCATTTCTGTGACAGGCAGAGCTAAAGGTAATATATTGTCAATCAAAGTGCCAGCCAATTATGGTGTAAAGTTCTTACTATCAGTATCTCAGCTTTTAGAGAGGCATTTCCACCTTTTAGAAAGAAAGAAAAAACCTCATACAAAAATTGAGAAACCATAAGACGACGGAAGGGGAAGTGACCATATATACCCGGAAGGCCAGACTGAAACCCCAAGAGATTGTTTCAACGCAATCCCCTGAGATTGGCCACCCCTGCTATAAACATCAAACCTAACAGAATGGCAGGAGATGCTGTTTATGAGGTCCTTTAGCTCTTGGTCACCAACGTTATGGTCAGATCTAGCTTCTAGCTTTTGGCACACAGTGAGAAAACATTGGGATGATGTTTGCCATTAGCCAGAACATACCTATGTTTCTAACTGCAAGATTTATAGAAGTTTGATATTGCTTTAACCATCATGGCTCCAACCTATGCATTTCTGAGATTTTTAGTTTGGTGTGCTGCCCTTATGTGCCGTCAAGTCATTTCCAACTGATAGCGACTATTATAGCAATATTTGGATATGCAAGGAATGGTCTACCATTAACATCACCTCTACCCAAATAGGTTTTCATGGTTGAGTGAGGATATGAATCCAGGTCTCCTGAGACCTAGTCCAACACTCTACCCATTACAAGGTAATGGCTCTCATGCCACACCGACTGTCACAATCTGCTGAGGTGCTTAAAAAAAATCTCACTGGTAATTTCAAGGAGTGCTCTAGAACTCTATAGCAGAGAATTTCAAATATTTCACCAGTCTCCCACAATTCTATTGTATGGAGAAAAAACAATTAAAAGGGTACTAAGCTGCTAAGACTTCACAGAATAGATGCATTCAAAGTCTTAGGGCACTAGAAGATAGCCAGCCACTGGACGTTCTTTCCATTATAGTGGTGAATGACTCCCAGACTCCTGTGTCTTTGTGCTAGTTAATCCATCACTGTCAATAAATAAATAAAGAATACAGTACCTTTTCAATTGTCTTCATATCTCTTTCTTTTCTTTCTTGCATACATTTCATTTCAGTCTCTGAAAGAAGGAGAGAGTGGGGAGTGGGTGGGTGGGGAAATAAAGCGGACCATGAAATTACATGGCTATTTAAAGAGATTCATATTGCGCACTACAGGTCAGTCTATAAGCCCACGGGAACGCAGGGCGGACGAAGGCAGTGGCAGACTGGTGACCTTCACAACTGCCCTTGACCTTCACAGCATTCCCCCTGCTGTTCAGCTGGCTGGCCAGAGAGAGAAAGAGAGAGATTAAGAAATAAGTTCAAGAGTCAAGTGTGTCTAAGCACTCACTGCTTTTCATTAATATAGACTCACACATCCTTGCTTTTAGTCACAGCTCATACAAAATGTTTTAGCAGGTGGTTCCTTATTGTCCACATCACGTTTCTGAAGATAGGATGGGGTAGGGAGGGGGAAGACATCATCATGTGAGGTGATAACAGCTTTCTTAATACAACACTGAACTCATGTTAAATTCATATTCTTGTCCAACAGTATTGTTGTGTCTTTATTATTCCTTCTTTCCTAGATGCTGCCATGCCTACTTCATAGCTTAATTGCTATGGTTAGTTTTTTAAAAAAATTATTTTAATAAGCAGTGCACCTCTATAAAGCTTGTTAGTTACCCTGAGAGTTCCTAGAAAGCCAGAACACAAGGAGAAGGAGGAGGAGGAAGAGGAGGAGGAGGAGGAGGAGAAGCTATACCTATACCTCAAAAATGGGAAAAGTTTCATTGTTAGACTTGAACTCCCAAGAATATCATCACCAGCACAGCCACTGGCCATGTTGGCTGGGGTAATTCTGGAAGTCTGAGTAAAAAAAAAAAAAGAACCTTCTCCATCTGTGTCTCTGTCTTTGTTTCTGTGTAGACAGAAAGCAATCAAATATAGCAACAGATTACTGTACTAGCTTTCCACTGTTAACTGTGTAACAATAATAATCTAGACACACACTTTTTTCCACATGTTAGCATTTGCAGTACTAGACTGCACACATTTATAGTACAATGTTATAAGTAAGAGACTATAGTTTTTAAAAGAATTGGCAAAATATATAAAGAATTAAAAGTCTAAAACATCTGGCCCACGTAGAATTAGGCAGCACACACAGCATTTTAAGTCCAGTGGCTTTTATGCTTTTTCCTTGTTCATACATATTTCTTCCTAAAAGTCAGCATAAAATGCTTACTGATATAAGACTTGATAAAAACTGTTATTACACTGGAGCACACATTAAATGTAGATTTGGAAGGATAAAATTTAAATGCATACAGTTACATTAAGATGTCATCTTCACTTTGAACGACATATATTAGAAGTCACAATATGTGAATAACAAAAGCTTCTCCATCAGTAAATACAAGAGAAATAAACGTATGTTGAAACAAGGTTATTTTCTGCTAAGTTTGAGAAAGTTTAGGAAAGAAGATAAAAAAAACACCACATGATTCAAATAACTATGCCATACTTCTTGGCTAAATTCCGGTGTTAAAATGTCAGTTCCCCATGTATCAATATATGCGAAAATCAAACTACTTTATTGTTCTGTGAGAAAGTTTACCTAAGTCAGAATGTTCTTTCTCCCTGCGTTTCACAGTCTCTTGGAGGCGTGCAAGTTTTTCAAGCAGGTTTGCTATTTGTTCTTTCAATTCCCGATTTTCTTGTAGAAACAACTCCCTTTCAATTTCTCTGTCACGTGGAAGCTGGAAGATTAAGAAGCTCTCTTATTTCAAAAACATGATGTGTAAAAGTGAGGGGGAGGGGGAATGTAAATATGCTGCTGGGGCACACAACGGTTACACAATACAACTATCACGAAATTTTCTGAATCCTGTCATATTAGTTATAATATGAATGGGAGGGAAAGCAAGCAGACTCAACGGAACTTGCCGGAAGAAAAGACGCTGGTACCCCCCCTCCCCATGAACAAAAAAGACCATAACCCATGAGGATGGGTAACTGACAGGAATAATGCATATCATATTGTTTGTTTGCCATCATCATTGAGGCCAATGTGTATTGTGGAGCCTGTGTCCAAGGAGGCAGCTGGGGCCTACATATCCACCCACACTTCTCTCTATGTTTATGAAGTGCTGTCTGTAACTAGGCAGGCAGGAGAGAAACCGTGGGTAGGCAGCTACAGGGGGCTGCAAAAGTGCATGGCTAAAGGGGTGGAAAAGGGGAGGTGTCCCCTTTGTACCATTTCTCAGTGACAGCACTGCCATTGCCATGAGGAGCACATCACATGTCAAACCAGTGAAATTTCCAGGCTGGGAGCCACACGGAGTCCATCAGGCAGTCTGATACCAACACAGTTGGTCTTCTGCTTAGTGCGGGAGCCACCCAGAGGCAATTCATAATCTGAAACACTGAGGTAGCTTTGCATGCACATCACACAAGGTCTGTTCATGGTCCCCCCTCCTACTTACTTTTTTTTTTATTTATGCTATTGAGGACTTTTGGTTTAAATCTCCATGCGAACAGTGATAACCTTGTAGGAAAGTTCCAGGACAGCATGCAACAAAAGACTTTAAAGTTATACTTTTAGTAAAGCAAACTCATTTACATTTTTATTATGCATGCCCTTTGTTAAAATCTTGCCACATTCATTATGGAAAAGGACTTTGTACGCATCCAAGCTTATTGGGAGAGCCACTCTTTCTTCTTCTCGGCTTCAAAGCTATTTAACACATTTGCATATATTGTCAAATGGCTGTTGAGATTTTACTGCTGCATATTTCTTTTAATGAGACAGAAGAAAGTGGAAACACAACTTTGTAACATACGAGGGCATTATATGGAATTCTGAAATCCCTCCCATCTTTTTTAAAAAGTGCTAAAACAGTGATGGTTAGTAATTCCGACAATTGTTTAAAGGAGATATTTGCTATTATTGTCTCTATTTGAATTTTGAAAGCCGGTTTGCCTTTTCTTTAGATCACTGAAAGATAAAGAAGGGAAGAACTAGAACTTTGAAGTTGAATTTTGGCGGGCTAGAACTACACGTAAACCAAGTGGTATGTAGAAGATATTTATGCTTAAATGACCTTTATATCAATTGTTTCTAGAATGTCTTGATGTAAAAGAAGATGGAGGGCTGACATTTCATGGTTGTATAGAAGAAGAAATTCCATTAGCTATAATTTGTATGATTAATCTTTCAAATATCTCTTCTATATAATTATCAAAGCTGCTGCAGTCAGGCCTCTTTTGTTTCTGGATGCTTGATTGTTTTTAAGTCACTCACATAGAATATATGTTTTAATGTGGTTAAAATGAAGAATAAAAATCAAGGAGACTGGGATTCAAATCCCTACTGTGCAGTGAATGAACCAGCAGATGACCATGGACTGGCCACTATCTCACAGCCCATGGGCGGCTTCATGCTGGGGCTGTTCCACTCACAAGGCATCTAACCTTCCTCAAAGCTAACTGGGTAGCTCAATGAGCTGAAACACCTAGGTCCCCAGTTCAATTTCCCACTGTTCTCCTGGGAGAAGAGCTATCCTGTCATGTCTTGGGCAGCTGGATGATCCTAGAGTGTCCATGGAAGAAGGAAACCACTTCTAAGTACCCTTATTTCTAGAAAATTCTGAAAATGCTCACCATGTCAGAATTGATTTGACAGCATGTCATTATATTGTCATGAACCTTCCTTAGAGCGTTGTTGTGTGGTGAGGGGAAAAAAAATCACATGTACTGTCTTGGACTCCTTGGAGGAAATAAGGGGGGATTTAATGAAATCAATTGTCGTTGTCGTTTAGTCGTTTAGTCGTGTCCGACTCTTCGTGACCCCATGGACCAGAGCACGCCAGGCCCTCCTATCTTCTACTGCCTCCCGGAGTTGTGTCAAATTCATGTTGGTTGCTTCGCAGACACTGTCCAGCCATCTCATCCTCGGTCGTCCCCTTCTCCTCTTGCCATCACACTTTCCCAGCATCAGGGTCTTTTCCAGGGAGTCTTTTCTTCTCATTAGATGGCCAAAGTACTGGAGCCTCAGCTTCAGGATCTATCCTTCCAGTGAGCACTCGGGATTGATTTCCTTAAGAATGGATAGGTTTGTTCTCCTTGCAGTCCAGGGGATTCTGAAGAGTCTCCTCCAGCACCACAATTCAAAGGCATCAATTCTTCGGCGGTCTGCTTTCTTTATGGTCCAGCTCTCACTTCCATACATCACGACAGGAAAAACCATAGCTTTGACAATTGTACAATGTACCAATTTACATAAAATGCACAATCTAGTTCATCTTCAGATTCTGAGACAGAAAATCTAGATGCATATTCTTGTGCTACAACTGTTCATTACAATGGGGATCATGCAGAGGAGTTCCTTGTCAGATAGGTACTAGGGCTAGTTGTAACCTTGAGGCAATGTGAGGTATTTGCCTCAGATGGTGGTCATTGGGCAGTGGCAGAAAGAAGGGAGAGGAGAAAGTTGTGCCCTGTGTGGACTGTGCTGTGCCACCTGAGTCAATCTGTTCCTTTACATGCAGCAAAGAAGGTATATCATGGACCATATCCACCTGCTTTGTACAGTGCTGCCATAATGGCACCTTCTGTTTGTAACCAGGGCAAGTGACAACCCTGGAATTTCAGCATGATGCCCATTCATATATATGGCAAACAGTGAACGATATTTGGTCTGGTCCTACGAAAATTTGCCCACTGTTTTAATTTTCAGCTGTTTTTCTTTAATTAGTTCTTTAATAATGAATTATACAAAGTAATTCATTAGAAAGATGAATGATTAATTTATATATAAATTAATCTATTTGTTGTATTGTATGTATGTATGTATGTATGTATGTATGTATGTATGTATGTATGTATGTATGTATGTATGTATGTATGTATGTAGCGTATATATACTGTATATATTGTATAGTGTGTGTATATATATATATATATATACACTATACGACAAATATTTCAAAATCTTGTATATTGATTACATTCTGGTCAACATGAATTATCTTGTATGTAAGCCTTTAAAAATGTATTCTTAATAGTATTTCACTGGACTCAGCATAAATTCCTTTTCGTTTGAGGAAATGATCAAAATCTTGGCAATCCTCTAGGATTACTCCAAGAAAGATCTGCCGGAGAGTGTCAGTAAATATCAAACAGTACAAAGAAGTGATTAGTTAATATCCCCCTGCAGCACTGTTTCAATCTGTGTGGCTACAGAATGAAGCCACAGTTTCAAAGAATCTTTAAGGAACGGTCCCAGGAGTTAACAGGCTTAAACATTAGCTGCTTAACTGTGGCAGAATTTGGACTCACTCCACTAGGAGACACCATTATCTGAAATAAAAGCGGTTAATCTTGTTTTTATCTGAAGGCATTTTAATTTGTTGTTCCTTGCCTTGGAGGGTTTAGGGTTTAAAACAAGTAAGAAGATTATTAATACAATTATTAATTATGATTAATTCTTGCTGATTGTTGTTGCTGCTGCTCTTATTGTTGTTGATTATGATGATACCATTTTAAGAGGTATTTTGCGAAGAAATGCTCCAGGAAATCAACATAGGAGTTTGGAGAGAGAGGGAGATTTTATAAAACAAGAAAGGGATTAATTATGGACATGGAAGTAAAATGGTTTAAAATTCACATAGAATCTGATGGTTGGCAATTCACTTAACTCTAGTTTTTTAGTTCTTATAGGTACTGTAATATGGGGGTGGGTGGGTTTGTATGGTTAACCTCTAGCTCTAGCTCCACCATCTGTTATAAACAAGAACTGCAAATAAAGAACTTGTTCTACCATCACAGTAACAATGATAATCATTTTGTCAATTCTGACTTCCAGCAACTCTTTTTCCAGGGTTTTCTAAGCAGACAATACTCAGAAGTGGCTTACCATTCTTTCTCTGGGGGTGCCCTGGGACTGTGCAGCTTGCCCATGGCTACACAGGCTGGCTCTTTTCCCAGTAGGCACACTGTGGGGAATACTAAATTAGCAAAACGGAACAAAAGGAAATAGTTCCACAGTTTGTAAATGTGGAAGTAAGAAGTAACCAAAACACTGGTAGTTAACACTGGAAGACTTCTATGCCCTGTCATTCACCTTATAATTGATCTTATAGCAACTTTAAACTGCTAAAATGTACTTTGAGTTGGGGCTAATATACAATACAAATGGTGCATCATTTGATGGAATTTTGGGACTCTTTGTAGTTTATTTACACATTTATCATTTGAGATAATGAGGGAAACAAATTTCAACGCTGTGGTATATAATGACCATCTCTCTGTGATATTGTTTTTCCTAATAGCTATGGTAATACTATGTGCCTTCCCAAATTGGACCTATTTCTGTTCTTTTTGTACCCAGCGACCGATGTGTTCCCATCACTGGTCTTTGTTGGGGATATACTGTACATCCCTGTCTGCTTTCAAAGCCACACCATAGTGTAACTAATCTTATAGGTAATGCGAGAATTAGTATAATAATCTTTTGTGGTTCAGCCATGCATGCACAGCTTATATGAATCAGTCATAACTCTGGATGAAAGCTTCCAATTGCAATGCTCCCTTCTTGGATCAGTGTGCTGGTGTCACGTTACTGATCGTGTGCTTGGACGGCCCTGGTGTGCTGGCAAATAGGCCAGTACAAATGTTGGGGTGAGGGAGGCAGATTTTTGTGATTCCAAAAATAGTCCGATAGATGCAAGGTGGAGTATCTTGTTTTGTGAGGGCCACATTTTTTTTTCAAGTTTAATTTATCAGGAGCAGCAAACCAGTAATGTTTTAAGAATTGTTTTAATATATGATATTTTATATTGCCTTTTAAAATGTTTTTAATGTTTTTAAGTTTTAATATTGTTGTATGCCCCCCAGACGCCACTGGTAATGGTGCGGCTAATAATAATAATAATAATAACAACAACAACAACAACAATAATAATACCACCACAGGAGGCAGTGGGCAGAGCAGATGCCTTAGTAAATAGGGAGAGAAGACGAGTGGCTAAAAATGTAGATGGAAAGATTAAGAGAAGAGGGAAGAAGACAGCAGGCAGACAGCCACCGAGAGAAACACTGAGTGTATCTACACTACTCAATTAGAGGTCTATGATACCACTTTTGGTTGTTACATGGCTCGTCCTATAGAATCCAGGGATCTGTAGTTTGGTGAACAGCTTAGAATTTTCTGTTAGAGAGCTCTAGTACACTCCCCCCTCTGAACTACAGCAGAGAGTTCTAAGTGCCACCATAATACATGAAGTTACAACCTTTAAAGTAGTATCAGATCACTTCAACTGTGTAGCCCATTGTTTCCTGAACCTGAAGCTCCCAATATTCTGGGACTACAACTCTCAGAAGTGTATTGGATTTGTTAGCCAGGGCTTCTGGGATATGTGGTCCAAGAATACCCATTTCACCCCATAAATTCTGGGCTGCTGGTTGCAATGAGTTGTTGGAGGTCTGGGAAACCCTGACATCTGAGCATTCAGCCTGGAGGCAGGCGGTGCATCATGGCCTCTCCCAATTTGAAGAGACCCTTATCCAGCAGGCTGAGGCAAAGAGGCAGTCACGAAAGCAGCAAAATCAGGGAGCTAGACGGGGTACAGATTGGATTTGACTTCAGTGTGGAAGGGATTGTCACTCTCAAATTGGCCTTCTCAGCTACACTAGACACTGTTCCAAGTCCTCCATGCAGAGCACGTTACCATAGTCTCTTGAGACTGAAGGATGCCTAATCAAATCATGGTTGCAATGAAATATTTCCTTCCTGCTAAAAAGGTCCAAGGAGGAGTCCTAATGGTTAGATTATCATAGAATACAGTATTTCTGTAGATTTTACAGGAATTAGCATAAGTAGGAATAAGCAGCCTTCCACAATTCAGCACTTATTCAGTCCTCCTCTCAATGGAAGTGCACTTGCATTATGAAAAACCACAAGAGGGAGCAATTGCACAAGCACTATGATTCCGGAAAGAAACCAAGACACATTTTAATTGATTCCACTTAATGAAAATAATGGTTTAATTTTGTTCTGTATGACTACAAAAGTGCAATGCTGACGGTAACCACAATGAATGATGCACAAATGACACACTCCACCTACCCAGTGGTAAGGTGGGTTAATGCTACAAAGTTAAAGAGAGGCAGAAATAATATGCTCATTAACTCTGGTTCTTAACAAAACTGCAGGGCTGTAGATGCGTTTAATTTTACTAGCACTGTACTAATTCTTATTCCGGGAATAGGGAACTATATTTTTCCCCCTGCTACATAAAGAGGACTTTCTTTGTTCTTGTTTCTACAATTCTGCCCCACTCTCCACCCGCACAGCTACTTTTTTATAAACCTTCTTTGCCTGTTCTGGAGGAGGGTTTTTGTTTTTTACTACCCAAACACTATAGGAAAATTGTGTGTGAGAGAAGTAACCCCATCAGCTGTTTCCCACATACATTTTCTGTTGCACCATTTTGATACTGGACTAGGATTTGAGATAAGGCGATTCAAGTCCCAACGTTGGGCGTGAAACTCCCTGTGTGACCTTATGGCTTGGTCCGGTCACTCACTCTCAGACCAACCAACTTCAGTCTGTCACACAGAAGATGGAACAAGTTTACTTTTCACAGCTTCAGAGGGTGGGACCTGAATCAATGGATTCAAATTACAAGAAAGGTGATTTTGAACAAATATTAGGAAAGACTTCCTGATAGAGAAGCTCTATTCAGTCACTCATATCCAGGTTAGCTCATTGCATGAGGAAGGAGAGGCATCTCTCCTCTCACCATTGTTGTTTTGCTCACAAGAAATGACAGGTCTGGTCAATCTGTGAAGGCCCTCTTCACAAACTGGAACACAGAGAAATCAAGGCTTTGGCTTGTGTGTGTGGCAAGCCTTTATGAAGCCAACCCAGATACAGCTAGATTGATACTGAAGGACTAAATAGGACTTAAGAGCTTTTCAACAATGGCACAGAAGCAAATGGACTCTGAAGGTGATGATGGACTCTTCTTCATTGGAACTTTTTCAACAGGCATTGGATGGCCATCTGTCTGAGATCCATTAGGCGTAGATTTTCCATATCTTCCAGGTTGCACTAGTTGATCCCTCCTTCCAGAGCCATCGGAAGAAAGGCAGGATATAAATGTAACTAATAAATAATAATTCCAGAGAGACTAAATGCTGTCTTCATGGCTGAAAGTTCACTTTAGCAAGTATGGTCAAGAGGCCTTGCTAAGTGCATCTACAGAAATTCCACAGCAATTGAGGTGACAATGGTACAGTCCTGTGGCTTGTTCCTGGGCCCAAGGGCCTATCCTGCACCAGCCAGAGCCATCACCCCAAACTTCAAAGGGTGCGTTTGTGCATGAGAATTGCCAATCCTGGAAGCCTCCAGGAATCACTATTACCTTCTAAAGCAGAGGATGGGCCTCTGCATGCGTGCTCGCATCTGTGTGCTTCACGGGTTTATTTTTCAAATTGAAAACTGAGATTGTGGTGATTCCAGTTGTGAAAAGAACAGGGAAAAAATGTTTTTGAAGAGGGCGTGGTCCCAGTAGATTCCTAGAAGGCAAAAGCACCCTCCTGTTGTCACCACATGTTCCTGATATAATGTTTAGAGTGTTGAATCAGGACCTGGGAGATGCAGGTCCTGTACTCCTATTCCCTGCGTCTCTCAGTCATGAAACTCACCAGGTGGTCAATTTCTCTAACACCGACCTACCTTACAAGACTGTTGTGAGAATAAATGAGGAGAGCCACATAGAGCTCATTAGAAAAACAAAATATATAATAAAGTCTTTGCAAAACAGTACCCTTTGCAAAGCCTCATACCTACCCGTTCTCTTTCTTTATATTCCTGTAGCTCTTCTTCTAAGCTTTCGATAAAAGCATCTTGCACCTCAAGCTTGTTCCTTAGCCTTGCTAATCTTTCAACTACTGTTTCTTCACCTCCTCCATCTATTTCTTTATCTATACAGAGAAATTTCTGTCAAAGCAAACAAGAGCACTGGTGAAAGAAGCCTAAAACTATATCCGACTAGGGCATAACATCTACACCTGATGGTCCCATCACCAAAGGATTCCACATCCCCTATTTTTTTTGCAACCTGAAATCAGATCCAAATCTGACAACTGTACTTATTGAATACACTTATGAGGCTGAAGCAGAACAGCCGTGGACAGGGTGAGACCGAAGTGCTCAGGGTTTAAATCTCTACTCACTAGGACTTAAATCCAACAGCCCCAATAGATTCATTGAATCAACTGCTTAATGGCAAGTCAACATTTATGTAAATTCCACTGATTAAATGGATCTTCTCTAAGGGACGCTATCAGCTGGATTCAGAATAAGGTAACTCGCCAGTACAGGTTTGATTCTGCGGAAAGGAAGTTCCCTGACTTCTATCTGGGAGCTTCCTTGCTGAATAGGAAGCTATGGCAAAACTCTGCTGGGCCTCGAAGCCTTCACAGTTAGTCCTTTTCTCTATATGTGCCACAATTAGATGCCTATAAGTGCGGGTCTGTCAGAGAGAACACTCAGAATGAAGCATTATACCAATTGTAGCCCAATTTTTTTTAAAAAACCCTACTCTTAGCATTCTGTACTGCTCTATGATCTGTTTGTGGACCACTTGAATTCACCTTATAGATTGCCAAAGGTCTGCATGCTACAACATGAACATCTTTGCAGTAGAATGCACAGTGGGTACTCACACACATGAGCATATTATGGCTTTTGGCTGAAGGTCAGTAGCTGAAGAAGGAGCAGGTGAGATCATGTCCAGCAGCAGCTGCTCTTGTACCTGTCCTTATAGTTATTTATTAACCACTTTTGTAGCTGTGGCTGGTATGAGTCTCAGAAAATTGTGTAAAGAAATATTTGTACAGTACTGACCAAGGAATTTTGCACCTGACCCTGAGAAGTGTTTCAGTTGTACCCTGCCTTACAGGATCATCTTGCCAGTCTGACTCCATGTAGCTACTGCAAATTCTAGCCTTGACCAAGGAAATAGGGTGAGCTGCACCCCACTAGATCTCAGGTACACAAAGCACACATAATAACAAGAATTTAAAACTCACGTCGTATTGTCCTCGGAGAACTGCAAGGGCATCACATAACTGTTGCTGGAAGCTCTGTCGCATTTTGACTTCTTTCTGTAAATATAAGGGTTTATGGGCTGGTGAGAAGAATAAAGTTGCAAAACTCTATGTAGTTCCTTGGAGGGATAATCCAATAAGATGCTTAGGAAATTGGGTAAATTACCATCTGGGTGATCTTGTGAAATATAACCATGATATAGCAGGACGGTAAGATTTAACAGTGGACATCATTGAAGTGTCCCTGGATGGGCTGATTGTATTAGCTAAATATTAGTTTTTGTTAATGGGTACAGCACTGCAAGTAAACAAAGTATTAATTCTGAAATGGCAAAAAGTCTCTTATTTTTTATGGGATGGGAAGCAATCCTGATTTAGTGGCCACAAATTATATTAAGCTATATTCTGGCATTCCCAAACACCAAAAATACTGCCAAATAGTCATGTCACATCACTAAAGGGCTTGGTTTAAGGCCCTGATTGATTTAGAGCAAAAATAACTTTCAATAAAAATTACACATTTTATTTGCTATAAGAGTTTTAGGACTGGTTAGACAGAATCTATGTATTAATAAATGTTATAAAAATTGACAAAAGTTGAAATGATTTAAAATTAAATTGAAATTTAGTCTAGGTTTGTCTGGCAATAGATTATAGTGGAGATGCACATCGAGGATAATTAGCTACTGTCAGGGTCTGAGGAAAAGCAGGATGAACAACATTATGACAGATTTTAAAGAGTAGAGTGGTGAAAACCTATGTTCAGATTTAACATCATATCCATGATGGGCAGACAGGTCTGTATCCATATCTGCAGGTATATTTGGTTATTTATTTAATCAAAAGTTGTGGTTCTTCAAGAGATGATACATAATTTAAGAAAATGCTTTTTAGGAATGACCAAAGAGATGTACTGAGTAACTTAAATAAGTTTTTAGGGAAATAGGACTGAACTCTTTAAGAACTATATATATCAATATGTCTATATCTAAAAGAGTGGTCTGTTATGGAATTATTCATTTCCTTCTTATTTTCAGATACTGATGCTAAAGAAAGACTTAGAATAGTTAACTTGTACCTGCTTATAATAGTCTTCAATGTATTTCAGCCTGTCACTCATTGCTAGCCCGAGATTGGAGGCATGCTCTTGTATTTTTTCCTCATACTGGACTCTAAGGATCTTTTTATACATTGCAAACTCATCACAGAGTGAGTTTGCAAACTGAGAACATAAAAAGACAAATGTTACAGGTATTGAAAATAACTTCTACTGTAGCTAGTTCACTTTACAGAAGGTACTAAGTAAATGTGGTTACACCCACCCACACATCCACACACAAATGCCAGACAGTGTGACCACTTGCACATAAAAGAGGACACAGAATGATATATCATGTGTGCATTTTAATTTTACATTTACTGTGTTTTTGCTCCATACGACGCACCTCTCCATAAGACACACTTCATTTTTAGGGGAGGAAAACAGGAAAAAATATTCTGGCAATTTCAGCCTGCTGGGCCCGCGGGGTGGGGGTGGGGGTAGCCTTAGAAGGGTCCTGGAAGGTCGGTCGCCTTTTCGGTTCGGCTGGCCCTGTCGGGGTGGGGGGAGCCTCCAAAGGGGCCTGGAAGGCACTCTCGGACCCTTCCGAGGCTCCCCCCACCATCCTCCCGCTGGGCCCTGGGGAGCCCTGTTTTACAGTATTCACTCCATAAGATGCAGACACTCCCCCCCCCTTTTGGGGGTGGAAAAGTGTGTCTTATAGAGCGAAAAAACGGTATATTTTTGCAGTTCAGAAATATTTGCAGGAAATTAAATACAAAGTATTTGCTCCATAAGACGCAGACACTCCTCCCCCACTTTTTTGGGGTGGAAAAGTGTGCCTTATAGAGCAAAAAAAATTGTGTATTTTTGCAGTTCAGAAATATTTGCTGGAAATTAAATACAGATACATCTTACTAGTGATGTACCCTGTCTTTGGTACATCGCTGAGACAAAGAAGTAAAAACAAACCCAATCAGCAGCATTGCTGGGGTAACCACAGGTGGAAGCAAAGAGCTCTGAGGCATTAACAAGGCAAAGCAGGACCCCCTGCGTCCTTCCTGTTACACCAGGTGCTTTTGTATTGCAGTTGGAAGCAGGGAAAGTGAAAGAAAAAAGGAGGAGGAGTGGAGAAAAAGAAAGAAAAAAAGAGGAAAATTTAAAAAATGAATTTCATGCTACAAAATTATTAATTAAATCATCAAAGTCTTGAGGCTGCAGAGTTGCTGAGTCCTAGTAACAGAGGCAGAAAGAAAGGAGAGAAAGTATTGAAGTTCACGCCCCCTGCACTGCCTTTTTAAGAAGGAATCAAAGACAGCTGTGTCCATTACCCTTTTAAATTCCCTCCCTCACTCCATTCCCTGTGGCTGATTTAAGAAGCCAATTGGGACTTTTTCCTTAGGGTTGAAAAATGAGGGGAAATAAGCACAAAAATAAAAGAGAACAACCAGCTTGGCCAACTGTCCTTCCTATACCGTTCCGTCAACGATCTAGCCTTATGATTTGGGTTTCTCTATTGACAGAAATAGGGTTTTCACAGAGACCTGGAAATAGACACATATCATCATAGATTCCAACAGGTATCTGTTAGAGTGTCTCCAAACGAGAACAGAGCAGGTTGGTGTGGTTTTGAGTGCCCTCTGTCCAGACACAGATCAGGTCAGGAGGCCAATAAGTCAGAATTGACTTGATGGCATGTAAACATTCTCAGTCATTTTTACATACCATCAAGTCAATGCTGACTTATTGGCGGACCTTTCCAGAGTTTTCTAGGTATACGTAGAGTACAGTACTCAGAAGTATTTTACAATTTCCTTCTTCTCGGGGGTGTGTGTGTGTGTGCCCTAGGACTTTGCAGCTTGCCCAAGGCTACATAGGCTGGCTGTTCTTCTGGGAGGCATAGTGGAGAATCAGACTCCCAACCTCTGGCTCCACAGTTAGTCACTTAATTCGCTCAGCTATCCAGCCAGCTGTGCAGACCTTTACATCTTTAAAACCTGGCAACAAATGGAGCAGACATACAGGCACCTGGTCACAAGTCTTGCTGGTACAGTAAGATGAAGAGCGCACATCCTTGTACCTTGGTATATCTTACTTACTATGTCAGAAGGACTGTGACCAGATTACCTGTATGCCTTCTCAGTCTGCTGCCTGGTGCTAATTTTGTACGGGAAGCATCAGAGTTGCTTCTGTTTGCACCAGAATTGCCACAGGTGAATTTGAGGTATTTTTAATGCCCACATGATGTAAAGGTCTATGCATATCAGCCATCTCCCCACCCCGACCCCCAATCTGGATATTTTCCCCTTGCTGCTGGGGACCACAATGATTTGAATTGTGTTTTGCCTGTGTGATTGTTTGTTTCATTCTACAGATGGACTGGGGGGACATGACTTTGGGTGGCCTTCTGGTCATGTTCTAAGTTGGAGTGTGATGTCTTGGGATAGCAGGAACACCCAACTCCACATTCTTTCTCCCTGATTGCCCCAAAGTATTTTTTGTTCATTTTTAAAACAAATGGTCACTGGATGGCTACATAAATCACCTCTGCACATTTTTTAAAAAAAAATCAAAACAACTCCAACAAACTCCTGCAGACTCCTATATTTCCATGGCATGTGTGTGCATTTGTATGTATACAGTGAACTTTTCCCTTTTCCCCTACCACCATACAACCTTTTAAACAGTCCAGCAGCTACACAGCATACAGGAGGGAAGTATCAATGGAAGGGAGACTGTGGACATGGATTGAACCACATCGGTCTGAGAGGCCACTGTGAACACTGGCACCAAAACTCAGGGGTTTTGTGTGGTCATCTAACCCTAATGCAGTCGTAAAAGAGACTGTGCATCGAGCCAATTTAAAGCCCAAACTCAGCCTGCCAATGAACTTGCACCCTGGACTGAAGATCTTTCTAAACACAGGATATCTTCAAACAGAGCACTGTGATATAGGATTTACAGCTGCACTAGGACATACATGTCCAATCCCAGCAAAATAGGCAGGAAAGGGTCTGTCCCAAATTTTTAAAAAATGCACTTACCCATGCTATCTACTGGTTGGAAATGAAGAATTAAGAAAATGAAAACCGACAATAAAACCCGGTGAAAATATTATCAAGCAAAAAGTATGTAAGTTCTAGACTTTAGTGACTGAAATACAGCTATAGCCATTGCATATAGTTCTTTTATAAAGATTAACTCATGTAAATGACTCAGAGCTTGGAACCGTTATTATTCTGAACTGTAGTTCCCAGAATTTCCCAGCAGTATGGCAGCAGCATTTCAACAAATTACAGTACTGTACATGACTTCAGCACCTCATATGTATTGCAACAAAGCTGTGTCTGATGCTTGGTAGAAAAAGAACTTACCTGTAACAAATGTCTTGTTGTTGCTGTAAACTCTTTCAGATCTCCTATTTCACTTATATCAGTTTGAGTGGCATGATCAGAAATTGCAAAGCCAATTTTTAGGTTGTCTGAAATGCTAGGCCTACAGATTAAAACAAAACAAAAAACATAAATTGCTCCAAATAGGAAGTAATATTTTATATTAAGCTTGAAGGAGCTACTATCTGAAAAAAACTATCAATTACTCTTTCACTTATCAGCACCTCAAGAATAAACACCACTATTTGGAAATCCCATGCCACTAAATCTACATTTGATTTATTTGAAAAAAACCTAGAACTGCTGACTCAGGCCCAAAGTGGAAAACCACAGCCTTTCAGTAGAACTTCCTATGAGGAACTGATCATTTTTCCTCGTGTAATGTGTCATGTAATTGCAGCATCTTTGTTGTTGTTGTTTAGTCATTAAGTCATGTCCTAGCTAAAATAATAACATTTTTTCAGCATTATCCCATTCTTTCTCTCAGTGCAGTTTACACTGGACTTCTAGGCATTGAACTTTTCAAGACTATGACTCACAGACTGCCTCAGCCAGCATCGCCAGCCACTGGGAGATCCTGGAAGTTGTAGTTTAAAAGGGTAACATTTCCAAGCTCTGCTTCTAGATAGACTTCCATCTCACTGTCATTCTGTGGTTAGCTAAGATTTAATAATTTGCCACTGTCATACACCCCCAATCCATTCATGAGGTGGGGGACCCCGCATGGCAAAGCACTTGAATACAAATGTTCAGTGTGTAGTGACACCTGCTGTGTGAAATATCTTGACACAGCCTTCATTTGTGAGAAAGTTACCACCACCCCTTTCTTCATTTCCCTGGTTGTACTATGTGAAGAGGCAATCATTTAGATTAATAAGGGCTTTTGTGGGGGTAGGTTTATAACATCACAGAATTCTCATGAAGGTGGTTACTATTCTAAGCATGGCTGGATTTTCCAGCTCGAAGCAACAGGTGTGCTTGGCAGTTGCTTAGTTCTTTAGCTGTGGAATCACTAGAACTGAGTCAACATGTACGTCACATGAGCTAAACTTAGTTCATTCGGACAGGGAACTCTTAGCGTGACACTGTGGGAAGACAAGGTTGGAACAAATGTTAGTCTATTTTTTAAAATAGCCTTTGACGTTAACATCTCCCGGGTTGGATTTCTGTAACCCACAAGTGTTCCCCATACATTAATCACGTCATATATGAAACTGAAATGGCAGCGTGAGAAAGTTTGCCACCCACATTTTAAGAAAAAGGAAAATGGAGGTATTTCCAGGTTCTGAATCTGTTTCAGAAAAATAATTAAGTTTTAAGTCATATTACCTCAGGCAACATGAGTTACTACCTTTATTTTATGTTTTCTATTATATGTGTTGTAACCACTCAGAGTAGTGCTTCAATATTAGTGGGAGAAGGAAAGAAAGAAAGAAACAACATGGTAAAAATGTTTTGTTTGTTTTTGGAAAAACGACATTTCACAGAAGCTTTTAGCTGGTGTGGCCATGGGCGGCGGCGGCGATCTGAGTGTTGTAGCTCTGAGCTCTGCACTGTAAATATTTATCTTGTCTATGGCAAAATGGCAGCAGTGCTTGACAGAGATGGACGTATTACATAGTGGTCCACGTATAAGATGATACTTGTGTCTAAAATCTTTAGATTAAAAAATTGGGGTTGTATTATACATGGAAGTAAGGAGGGGGCAAAGGAATAAAAGCGCTTTGATCCCTGCTTTCAGGCCTTTGATCCCTGCTTTCTCCCTCCACTTGCTAAGCAGGCTTAGCAAGAAAGGTGAAAGCAGGGATCAAAGCAATACAGTACTGTGGTGCTTTGATCCTGGCTTTCCCCCTCCACTTGCTAAGCCCCACTTAGATTTCTTAATTTGGGGTTAGAAAAGTGGGGGGTGTCTTATACATGGGAAAAATATCTTGGTGGATTTCCTGTGGTGTTCTACTGGATTTCATAAGATGAAGAATGAATGCAACATGAAATAAGTAGCCAACATAGAAACCCTCTAACTTTTTCTAGTTCAATCTGTTAAAAGGGTACAATGCTGCACCACTATAAACAAGAGAAAGAGGGAGAGGCGAACATAAATGCAATGCTAATTCTGAATGAGCCATGTAAAGCCCATAGAAGAGGAAGACGTGCATTCATCCACCATCACACACAGAGACTGTAATCCTGTTGCTTAGCTTAGTAAGTCACTCGATAGTATGCTTATTGAATCAATGGGGATTTAGTGATTCAACTGTTACATAAATTCCATTGATTCAAACTGCAACTTACTGTGTTAAAGCAATTCGTAATTGCGCAGGCCCACTTGAATCAATGAAGCTTGTGGAGGAATTGTCTCACTCGATCACCACTGTTTCATTCAGCCTACTCTAATGCAACTTAATGTGCTGAGCAACCAGATTTTAGCCATAGTATTAGCAATACACAGTTTATTAAAATAAGTACAATAGATATGGAAGAGTGTGCATTATGTTCCTTTTTCTTTTTCTCAAATTCAAATCCCTGAATATCTTTGGTTAAAAACCTTTTAATGTGAAAAAGCCAACTGGAACATGAAGGATCCATGAGGTTGTTGCTCCGACCCACAGGCAGTCAGTGACGACTTGCTCCACTCATAGTTATTTCAACATTGTAAATACTGTATCCTTGATTCCATTCACATTTATGCATATCACTACTAGCAGGTATCAATGCATGAACGTGAAGCACCAGCTTACAGCAGAAGTTGGAAATGTGACTTTTAAAATTGCCACTCCCAGTATGCTTGAATGAGTGTGACTAGATTCCAGGTAAAACCAAGTACTGTGTTGCATTTGAGCCAAATAGAATTAATAAATTTATTACAAAATATATCAAAGAGGATCATTCCGTATGCTTGAATGAGTGTGACTAGATTCCAGGTAAAACCAAGTACTGTGTTGCATTTGAGCCAATGGCCAATGCTATATGCAAATTCTCTGTGCGGTTCCATATCAATGGAAACCTGGGGTCACTTCTTCATAATCACATGTCGCAAACATGCTCTTGTGTATCAGTTACTGTCTCTCTCAGCCTAACCTATCTGATAGGCTTGTTGTAAGATGCTATGGAGACAACTGCTGGATTGTAACATTTATTTTGGTACCATGCCTGCTTCTGAGGGTAATTTCTGAGCACCAGTTTTAATTTAACAAGTCCTAAAGAGCAGGCTCCAAAGCATTTAATGGACAGCCTTTCCCCAGATGGCCTCATCTACCTCACCAGCTTTCACTCCCACATAGAGACATATTGCCTTCATCTACTAACCACCAGAGAGTTTTCTGCTATGGAATGCCCTTTCAAAGTACATCTGCCTAAATCTCTTATGAATGCTTATTTATCAATGAACATTCTCACAGCCAACCTCTGTGCTCTTAATTAGATCCCTTATTCCTAGATGCCTAACAGGATATTTCGGTAAAAGCAAAAGGAGACAAAAAAAACTGGTACAAAGATTAGGCTCAGGTGAAGATCTTTTAGTTTCCATCCCACCTTATCTTTTTGTATCTTTGGCTGTATCGATGTTTCAGGTTTTTGCCTAGCTTTAGTTTTGCACTTTCTCCTGTTTTTTCCTACTCTTTTCCTTGTTTTTTTTTTTTAACTTCTGTTGGTTTTGAACTTGTGATTTATATAATAACCATTATGTTTTAAGCATGCTTGTGTGGGCCAGGGAGTGAGGGGTATAGATACTTTAACTGGAGAACAAATAAAATGAAAAGGGACCATGCATACAACTTCAAACTTTTGTGAGAAAGGAAGTATTTAAAATATGATTATAAGAAGAAAATAATGTGTGCACATAGAAGATCGAGCCTTCCAGAGAACCTCTAAAGAACCCTCAACCTCCTGCCTTTCTTAAATCCCCTTTTGTGAGACTTCCTGATTATTCCTTGTAGGCAACTTATTGAAATATTACCGGTAATCATCTTCCAGTTCATCTAAGCAGCAAGGCATTGCCAGAAGCTCTAGGATGTTTGGGGAGATGCTCAGCTGTCGTGTGGACTGCAAAGCCTGGGCCCGCTCAGTTACACCCATGTTGTCCTGTTCTTGGGCGAGATAGGCAGAGGCAGGAATTGATGTTGCTTGGGCCATCTTCCTTCTAGCTTCCCCTGGAATCTTTGGAAGAATGTTAGCAAGGAACCAACCGTGGGATACCATGGCAACGTGACAGAAATTCTGTATTTACCAATGATGTTCTGTTTTTCTTGAGAGAAGGAGGCCAATAGGAAGGCTCTGCTCTCCACAACCAGGAGAGAGTCTTTAAATTTTTTTTTCTCCAAATAACAGTGGGACTCCTAAACTAAGTTACTGGGTTCTTCCATTTGAAATAGAGAAACCAAAGGCCCAATCTGTCAACCATTTGCTGGGACAGGTGTAATTCTGTTATGGTAAATACAATGACACCATGTGAAAAAGGACAAGGACCATAGGAAACCCGCATGGCTAGAGTGAGTGCTTTATAATCCGCTCCAGAATTTTGTCTGGGATTGATGTCAGGCTGACTGATCTAAAGCATGCTGCTTATCTAGAGTTCCCAGGTTCTTCCTTTTTGCCTTTTTTGAAGATAGGGATCTCCTTCAGTTATCTGGCACTTCACCCATGTCCATGGTTTAAAAAAAAACCCACAAAAAACAATAGATAGTGTATCTGAGAGTTCTTCACCCATGTCCATGGTTTAAAAAAAAAAACCACAAAAAACAATAGTGTATCTGAGAGTTTTCAGCCAGTTCCTTCAGTACTCTTGGATGCAGTTCATCCAGCTCTTGGGATTTGAACTCATTCAAAGTTGTGAAGTATTATTTGGCTATTTGTTTATTAATCTCAAACTGCAATCCTATCCCTCCCACTTGCCTAATTCCTGCTATTTGCACCTCCACAAATTCTTGTATAACAAGAATTTGTGCAATTATTTGCCCACTATCATGAAAAAAGATGCAGAACAATGATTCATCTGATCATTAGCTCTGTGTGATGCTTTAATAATAATTAATGCATAGAGTGCAGTAGGATAGGACACCTGAGCACAAGTTGCTAAGCCAATAGACATATTACACTAACTATCAATTATGGCGATCAAGTCACAGGGAAATATTATGCTAACTATTAATATTAATGATTAGAATTAGATTTAGTGAATATATTTTATACCCAATATGAGCCACTGCCCAGCAGTCATCAAGTTCCATTTTGAAGAGAATGTGCACATGGTTGTTATTGGCGTTTGCTCAAATTACACAATGGCACGTTTGTACAGGGCATGCCTCTGTCAGACACCCTATTGCAGATGGTTAGTTTTAAGCAAGTTGCGAGTTAGGAATGACATTCATAAGGAGGACAAAACAAGCCTATATATATTCACCCTGAACCAAGTCCTAATGTGCTCAGGAGAAACCAGGTTATCGGACTGCAGTCTAAGCGTCCTATGACACATTACGTTTGCACCTCCAACCTATGAGGCAGAGCAGACTGCAAGGGATTTTTCATCCACATTCCTCCAAGATAGCATGTCACCACCCATGTATTACTGTCTGGTGTCAGGAATCCAGACTTGTGGCTTTTCATGGGTGGAGAAGATTGATTCCTTTTCCAGAGCTTCCATAAAATTTCCTTAAACCAGTTTGGCATATTTGCCAGGTAGTTCAGAGAACAGGTTAACATTCCAGGCTAGGAAAAGAATTAAAGAAACTCCCATTTCAAGTTCAGATTATCTATTAAAGGCTCAAGGGAAGAGAGGTTCAGAAATTGTCAATTGTTTTAAAATACCAGTAAAATAACAGAGCCAGATAACGAGATTAAGAATACAATTAGACAAAGGCATAATACGTGTTTTAGGTTTTACTGATCTGAATAAAAGAGTTTTAAGGTGATTCTTAGTTTTCTACTGAGATCAGTGGATTTTGAGTATTTTAATCATATCAAGCTTTGTCTATGCATGACACCCAATATCTTATTTAATTTAAAGCAGAATGTATGCTCAGATGTGGAAAACTGAATTGTTATTAAAGACAGGGTGGAGCAAGTTTGCAAGTTACATAATGATAGTTTAAGATGGCTTTCCACTAAGGAAGTAATAACTGTATTATAGTTAATTATGTCTTTGGTTGTTGTTTTTGCTACCTAGAAACAACAAACACCCTTCAATTTTTATTTACATATCTATCAAGGCATATACTAAAGCTTAGTTGTCTCTCCTCCACTTCTCGTGTAGCCAAAACCACAACACAAGTTTTGGGATCTTGAGTCTTCCAGAAGAACAGAGAATCTTTAAGAAATAATAATAAATAGGAACATGACAACTGTAGACACTAAATGCTGACTGCTGGGGGAAACCAGTGGGGTGGTGGGGATGTATGTAATGAAACATACTGAAGAAAGGTTGTGGCTGTTAGCCTTGAACCCTGAAGAAGAACACTCTAAAGTGTGACATAATGTTGCGGGTCCAGTTGCAATGATTCACACTCTAGTTTCCCCAAATCTCCTCTTTACTTCATATTCCTCTCATCTGAGTACAGGAAGATGCTTCTATAAATAAAGATTGGTAATCTAATAAATAAATAAATTGGTGGCAGGCAGCTACTAGATTTAAAGCTCAGAAAGTTACTTTCTGCAAGCATCTTTGCTACTGTTATAGTTACAAACTTAGTTACGGTGGTGACCCAATTGATTAAAGACCTCCAGAACAGCCTACCTTGAACATCCTGCTCAGAGCTTGCAAGCTAAAGGTCATGGTTCCTTTATTGGGTCAATGCACCTCTCACCAGGTCTCACTCTTTTCATACTGTCTTCCATTTTTTTCCTAGCATTACAGTTCCCTTTTCTCCTGAGTCTAGCCTTCTCAGTATATTTCTCAGATACCATAATCTCAAGTTAATCATTTTAGGTTCTAGTGCTAATTTTATCTCCTAGACTAGTTTATGGTTCTAATAGGGTCTCTGTAAGTTGGAAGCAACTTGATATCACATAACAACAGCATAATTGCAAACACCCGCATAGTAAGTTACTATTATAGTTTCTTTTTGAAAGTTGAAGTTCTAAAATCATTAATTTTGTATATTTTTTTTTAGAAATTGGAATGCTAGAAGCCACTGGATTCTGGCACAAAACACACATGTCTACCTTGCTGTCTTGTCAATATTCATGAAATGCAGCACAAGCCAGCCCTGGAACCATGTGATATTCCTCCTCCACCATTTAGTCAGACCAAATCACAGCAACTATAAAGTTAGGCATATGTTAGTTACATTAGATAAATGTAGTTATTCTTTCTTAAGTTACAGCCATAATGCATTGTAGTTTTACCTTAGTTATTTTAAAAAATAATGGCAGCCTGTTATTTTTCATGCATAAGCGAGAATACTAGCTTATATTGTGAATATACTAGTTTATATTCTGTTTAGATAATGGCTAGAGAAATGCAGCTTGGCAGTTGGGCTGGAAAACAGGATTGATATCTGAGTCTTATAGGTCACTGGTTCTTAACCTTGGCTTACTCAGGAGTTTTGGACTGCAACTCCCAGAAGCCTTCACCACCAACTGTGCTGGCTGGGGTTTCTGGGAGTTGCAGTTCAAAAGCATCCGAGTAACAAAGGTTAAGAACCACTGTTATAGGTGACTATCAAGAATGATCCTAGTGTAGAAGGCAGTGGGTGGTAATTATATTGTTACTTTAACTTCTAGAGTAGAACTGCTCATTTGACTGTCCACTTCCACATACTTATACTTGTAAACAAGGTGATATCAGTAGAACTGCTCATTTGACTGTCCACTTCCACATACTTGTAAACAAGGTGATATCACAGAAACACTAAGCATCCTCTCTTTCCTTGCACAGAAACTATTGCTGTAAAAAGTCTGCCCCTGCACTTTGGGCAGTGGAAGGGAATGTTACAATGGCCAGAGTCCAACTGGATTTTTGCATGTCAAGAGGAACTGCAGAAGTTGCCACAGTTAATTGACAAAGTGCTGTTCGCATATCTGATCGTAGGCCTGAGTGAATGCAGGGTGTGTGCCTCTCTAACACATGCAGTATCTGGTCATTTAGCTGAAGAAACATCTGTGATCCCTCTTTCATGTTTGTAAATATCCAGTAAAGTTTGGCTATCATGTGATCCCACTGACAGCTTCTGTGACTACTGCCTGAACAGAGGTTTGAAAAGTTACTTTTTCAGAGTGCAATCCCAGGATTGCCCCAGACAGCCCTGTCAGTAACCACGCTGGCTAGGGATCTTGGGGTCATCGTTCACAAAAGTAATTTTTCCATGTTCTATTTGACATGTACTCAGTGACTGATGTTTAAAGAACATAAATGATATAGTCTGTCTCAAATCCAGTAGTAAGTCGCAACTAGAGCAGGCCAATGGAATCACTGGGGATTTGGCAAGTTAGCTTCTCCATATGTTCCACTGATTCAGCAGGCCTACTCTAGTTGCGACTTACTACTGGATTTCAGTCTAACTAATACTGAGTGTGTGGTACGTATCTTAACTGAGCAGGGGAACAGATAAAACAAACTGAAGCATTTCTGCTTTTCTACTTGTAAATGACCCATCTGCAGTATGTGTTAGTCATAAGAAAGTCACTCATAACAATGTTTTGCCAGCGCTATTTGTACAGTTGAGGTTTGCCTCCTGCATGATCTGAATGTTCACTATAAAGTGCCCAGTAAGTGGTGATTACTGTGCCAGCAGAAACCTTATGTGCAAGAGATATTTTTGTCTGCAGAATCACAGGCTGCGACAGCTTGCATAATATACTATCTTCTCTTGGCAATACATAGTACAGATTTTTTAATAGATCGTAGTGGCAGGGACGGTACTAAGATGTATGAGAAAAGCAGTTTTCCCCTGCATTTTTTTAAATTTGAAGAATATGTACAGTTTCTCTCCCAATATTCAATGGTCATGCATATTTTCAAAGTCATCATGCTGTCCACAAATAATATGTAGCAACATAATATAAATCTCATTGCAAGGTTGGAGTTGGGCACCTCCTATTCTGTAAACTGAAATTGAACTGAGTTGTCAAGGCACTTGAGAGAAAGCAATGCGTCAACTTGCCTCTAGATTGTCTTTGCTGAGGCCCTTTTCTGACTATAACATGATCATTTAGGTGTCCA